GAGGGGTGTATGGGGAGTATCCAAGGTGTAGGAGAGGGCTGAGGAGCCAAGGTGAGTAGTCAAAACCGGCCACTTTATGCCAGCTCACCCAACAGTGTTTCCTCTCTCCCTCCTCCAATTCTCTACCAATCGTCCCCATCTCTTGAACACCTCCCAGGATACACCTCCCCTCGCGTAATACCGACCGGCGGCGCAAACGAACGCCGCGTTCTTGCATGGCAGCCGCCACATTACCTGGGGTGGGCCGAAATTCGTCTCGACCACCCCGGACGCGTTTCTGGCCCGAATCCAACGAAACCTCGAGCACCTACCTGTCCCCCACAGCGCTCCTGATACTACAAAAACGGCGCGGAACGACGGCCGCGTTCCCGCGCGGCGCGACTTCCCAAATTCGGGTGGCCCCAACTTCCCTGGGTCACCCCGCGCTCAATTCGCGGCCGTTTCCCACCAAATTGCGGAGTTCAGCACAAACGAGGTGCCCGTCCAACTGTTCAAGTCGGCGGCACAAACCGCCGCGCCGTTGTCTCACGCCGCCACATTGCCGCCCACACCTAGCCAAAGCGTCGGCACTTGTCTCCCGGCCCCAGTTCCGTGACGTTCGACCCCAAACTCGGTCCTGGGGCTCTCATGGCACGCCCCCACCGTCCGCCAGACGCCGGCGCCGTCAGCGCCACCCCTTCCCGCTCATCGGCGCGCCCTTCCCGCTCACTGTGTCGGCCGGCACGCGCTCAGTTCTGGGCCGTTCTGCGCCAAATCACGGCTTTAAGCACGAATGGGCTACCCGCTCAACCGCCTAAATTTGCGGCACGAACGGCCCGGCCGTTGCCTCTCGGCGGCACATCGCCGCCCTCACCCAGCCCAAACGTCGGCACTCGTCTCCTGGGCCCAGCTCTGCGGCGTTCGACCCCAAACTCGGTCTCGAGGCTCGTATGGCATGCCCGCTCGATCTAACAGGCGCCGGCGCCGCCAGCGCCGCCCCTTCCTGCTCATCGGTGCACCCTTCCTCCTTGCTGTGTCGGCCAGCACGGGCTCAGTTCTGGACAGTTTGGCGCCAAATTGCGGCATTCAGCGCGGTCGGGGGGCTGTGCCAAACTGTCAAATTTGGAGCCAGAACGACCTCAACGTTCTCTCTTGCCGCCTGGCTGCCGCTTCACCTACCCCCACGTCGGCACTGGTCTCCTGGGCTCAATTCGGCGCCGTTTGCCTCCATATCCGGTCCTGGGGTTCGTGCAGGGTGTTTCCACTATCCAGAAGAGGCTGGTGCCGCCAGTGCCTTTCCTTCCAGCTCATATGCGCCCCCTGCCCATTCACGGTGTCGGCCGATGCGCGCTCAGTTCCCCACCGTTCGGCATGAAACTGCGGCGTCCAGCGGCGAACACGGTGTCTCCTCAGATGGTCCAATTTACAGCGCAAACGCACACACCGTTCCCTCTCAGTTGGTCCTGGGGTTTGTACAGGACGTCTCCACGATCGAACAGACGCCGGTGGGCCATCCCTTTCTGCTCATCGGCATGCCCTCTCGCTCACTGTATTCCCCAAAGGAAACATTGGCAGTCATCTCCCGAGTCCAGTCCTGTGCTGTGTGCTGCTATATCTGGTCTTGGGGCTTGCGTTGGGTGTCTCCACGATTCTGGCAGGCGGCTGCGTGCTACATTGTGCACAAAACTGCGGCGTTTAGGGTGGGCATAACTGCCAGCTGACTGCGCTTACCACTCTACCTAGTGTGCACTTCCATTATGTAGTAGACCTTCTGTTCACTTGTTTGTCATTACTTGATTGTAAATTTGAGTGATGAAGTGTACTTGGACATGTACCTTGCACCATTTTAGAGAGGATTTTCATTCAAATGTTCTGGACTCATGGAAGTCAATATTTCAGAGTGTAGTCACCTTAACTAAGGATTTCCCCAGCGTTTACATCAAAGTTGATGTGGGTATCTCTGGGTGGTATTTGACGCATATTCATCAGGATGGTTGTATCATATGTATATTTGAATATGTAACATTTTTACATTTGGCCACCTGTTCTGCTTAACAGCAATAAAAATATTGTGAACTTGATAAAATAATTCCTGTGAGACTAGAGGCACTCACTATATCCCCCGGACTTGTCAGAACAATTCTACATTATATTACAGCTTTCCCACCTGTATATGTCACCGCACCTGTCACCTGGGTTATTGCTACCAAGCCTGTTGTATTATATTTCTCCAATTTATTCTGCAAGGGTTGAGCCTGCACTTTTCTTTCCCTTTTGGGTAAAAGAGCTCAGATACAATCACTGAACATCCTCCATTTTTTGTATGGTCACATTGCCCTTTGTTGTGGCACTGTATGCCTTCTGCCATATGTTATAGTGAGAAGACGATACTCGTGACAATTGTACAACATAGTGTGACACGAGATTATCAGTATGCTTATAGCACATCTCCCAACAATCCCCTCTACATATATTATATTGCCAGTCCTGTCTCTTGCTCCTACTCACTGCTGCTCTATTATATTTCTCTCATTTAATTCTGCAAGGTTAAGCACACACACTGTCCTTTCCTTTTGGGGTAGGAGAACTCAGATATGGTCATTTGGTTTACAATTTCAACTTTTATTTGACCATATGGCACTTCATTGCCCCAGTGTAAGCATTGATAACTATATCTTAGTACTTTCTAGTAAATGCTAACCAGTCTATTCACTGGGTGTCCGAATTGATCCAAAATTTCTCGGAATGTCTGAAATAAATATTCCGACAATTCCACCTATATCTGTCACATCACCTGTCACCAGTCTTGCCACTACTGAGGTTGCTATATTAAATTTCTCCAATTTATTCTGCAAGGGACAAGCCTGCACTTTTCTTTCCTTTCTGAGTAACAGAGCTCAGATACCATCCCTGAACATCCTCCATTTTTTGTATGGTCACATTGCTCTCTGTTGTGGCACCGTAACCCTGCTGCTGCTCAATACTATAGTGAAACTGCTCTATTATATTTCCTGAATTTATTCTGCACAGTCAAGCATTCACTTTTGGGTAGAAGGGCTCAGATATGTTCCGTTTGTTTACAGAATTTCTCATTCGATCATATGGCGCTCTGTTGCCCTAGTATAAGCAGTCATAACCACATTTTAATAATGCTAACCGGTCTTATGACCAAGCATTAGAAATCATCCAAATTGTCTCAGGATGTCTGAAATGAATATTCCGACCCTTCCATCAACATCCGTCACATCCCGTGTCACCTCATTTGCTCTTGTGGGTCTTGCTCTATTATATTTGGAGACATTATTTTGGTATATTGAGTGCTTAGTTTCTGTTTCCTTTTTGGGGAAGACACCTCAGATATGATCATGAGAGGGTCACATGTGACATTGCTGACAGAGCCCGGGTAATCCCTAGTGTTTTAGTGAATTTATAATGCAACACTTTATTGCACATTGCTCATTGATATTTAATACACTAGTACTTATTCAGGAGACGGTGGCAAATCACCAGACATGACTAAAGCACGTATTCCATGCAGTTAGGTAACTCTGCCATGGCAGTAGCCACATTTGCCTGGTTAGCACAATTTGCTATAATATCTCTTTGCCAATTTCAGTGTGCATTACCATTTATATATTTAGACCAATTTGTACTTTCCAGGGCCCATATACCATACAGTTGAAAGTAACCTACCAGGTCATCTGAATGCTTGTAACAGGCCTGCAGCCAAGTTGGCACAGAGATAATCTATTCCTATCAAGTGAATTATCAGTATTTTTTTTCTCTCTCTCTTATAGCATCCAGTCGTTCTGCTTATAATCAGGCTGACAAATATATACAGGAAAAGACTAGATAACGATTAACTGCTCTACCACTAGTATACTACAGGTCAACATATTTATTTTTGGCTTGAGATAGACTCATTAGGTAGCAGCCAGTGTGAGTACCTAAATGGCACTCAAGAATAATGAACTCTAGTATGTGTTTTGCCAGCAATTATCATTTATATCAGCTTTGACTTGACACATTGGTGGTATATTTTTTGCTCTTCATTGTCTATGCATTATTTACTTTAATTTCCAATTTCAGCCTGTAGTATCATGTATATTATAGGCCTATATCTGCTTTGATCTGCAGATTCAAGCAACAGACTCAGACATATAAATGGACCTTAAGCTGTTCCACAGCCTCACCGTTTTCCATCCAGTTCCCCTATCTTCTCACCACATCTTGCTGGGTGCAATACTACATTTTCCCATTACCTCAATCCTTGCATTGACGTCTATGACTACGGCTTGTGTTATATCCCGTGCATCTTTGGACGCTCCGAGGGTTATCCTTGGAGCGCAACAGGGTTTTTACGCAGTGAAGGTATCTGAGCGTTTCCCTTCAAACAGTTAATCTGCACGCAGACTCCCTCGGACCTGTTCGGACCCTAGGATTATTCCGCTCCCGGGAGGGGGGGCTTAATCCAAGGGGGGCAGTGGATTACCAAGCTGTCAAAGTCACAGGGTACCGAACATGTTCGGTACCCCGTGACCAGTCAAAGGCACGTGCGACCGAACATGTTCGGTACCCCGTGATCTGTCAAACTCACGTGGTACCGAACATGTGCGGTACCCCGTGACCTGTCAAAGTCACGTGTAGGCGGCGATCAGAACCACATAGCGCCTTTGTTGCCAGTGCACACATTTTCTTTACTGCTCTGTACGACTATTAGTAATCCTACCACAGCCTATCCGCCACACAACACCCCAATAGTCCACTCAGGGCCCCAGAAACATCAACGGCGGCAAATCGTCACCTGTGACAGCCTGCCACTGCCGCTGCCGCCACTGCCGCCACTGCCGCTCTGTCTCTCTCACGCTACCTGTCTATCTGCTCAACCACCACCACCACCCCAACAGTGGTGCTTGCAACTGCGTGGAAGGGCCGGGAAGAGATGGAGGGGTGTACGGGGAGTATCCAAGGTGTAGGAGAGGGCTGAGGAGCCAAGGTGAGTAGTCAAAACCGGCCACTTTATGCCAGCTCACCCAACAGTGTTTCCTCTCTCCCTCCTCCAATTCTCCACCAATCGTCCCCATCTCTTGAACACCTCCCAGGCTACACCTCCCCTCGCGTAATGACGACCGGCGGCGCAAACGAACGCCGCGTTCTTGCATGGCAGCCGCCACATTACCTGGGGTGGGCCGAAATTCGTCTCGACCACCCCGGACGCGTTTCTGGCCCGAATCCAACGAAACCTCGAGCACCTACCTGTCCCCCACAGCGCTCCTGATACTACAAAAACGGCGCGGAACGACGGACGCGTTCCCGCGCGGCGCGACTTCCCAAATTCGGGTGGCCCCAACTTCCCTGGGTCACCCCGCGCTCAATTCGCGGCCGTTTCCCACCAAATTGCGGAGTTCAGCACAAACGAGGTGCCCGTCCAACTGTTCAAGTCGGCGGCACAAACCGCCGCGCCGTTGTCTCACGCCGCCACATTGCCGCCCACACCTAGCCAAAACGTCGGCACTTGTCTCCCGGCCCCAGTTCCGCGACGCTCGACCCCAAACTCGGTCCTGGGGCTCTCATGGCACGCCCCCACCGTCCGCCAGACGCCGGCGCCGTCAGCGCCACCCCTTCCCGCTCATCGGCGCGCCCTTCCCGCTCACTGTGTCGTCCGGCACGCGCTCAGTTCTGGGCCGTTCTGCGCCAAATCACGGCTTTAAGCACGAATGGGCTACCCGCTCAACCGCCTAAATTTGCGGCACGAACGGCCCGGCCGTTGCCTCTCGGCGGCACATCGCCGCCCTCACCCAGCCCAAACGTCGGCACTCGTCTCCTGGGCCCAGCTCTGCGGCGTTCGACCCCAAACTCGGTCTCGAGGCTCGTATGGCATGCCCGCTCGATCTAACAGGCGCCGGCGCCGCCAGCGCCGCCCCTTCCTGCTCATCGGTGCACCCTTCCTCCTTGCTGTGTCGGCCAGCACGGGCTCAGTTCTGGACAGTTTGGCGCCAAATTGCGGCATTCAGCGCGGTCGGGGGCTGTGCCAAACTGTCAAATTTGGAGCCAGAACGACCTCAACGTTCTCTCTTGCCGCCTGGCTGCCGCTTCACCTACCCCCCCACGTCGGCACTGGTCTCCTGGGCTCAATTCGGCGCCGTTTGCCTCCATATCCGGTCCTGGGGTTCGTGCAGGGTGTTTCCACTATCCAGAAGAGGCTGGCGCCGCCAGTGCCTTTCCTTCCAGCTCATATGCGCCCCCTGCTCATTCACGGTGTCAGCCGATGCGCGCTCAGTTCCCCACCATTCGGCATGAAACTGCGGCGTCCAGCGCGAACACGGTGTCTCCTCAGACGGTCCAATTTACAGCGCAAACGCACACACCGTTCCCTCTCAGTTGGTCCTGGGGTTTGTACAGGACGTCTCCACGATCGAACAGACGCCGGTGGGCCATCCCTTTCTGCTCATCGGCATGCCCTCTCGCTCACTGTATTCCCCAAAGGAAACATTGGCAGTCATCTCCCGAGTCCAGTCCTGTGCTGTGTGCTGCTATATCTGGTCTTGGGGCTTGCGTTGGGTGTCTCCACGATTCTGGCAGGCGGCTGCGTGCTACATTGTGCACAAAACTGCGGCGTTTAGGGTGGGCATAACTGCCAGCTGACTGCGCTTACCACTCTACCTAGTGTGCACTTCCATTATGTAGTAGACCTTCTGTTCACTTGTTTGTCATTACTTGATTGTAAATTTGAGTGATGAAGTGTACTTGGACATGTACCTTGCACCATTTTAGAGAGGATTTTCATTCAAATGTTCTGGACTCATGGAAGTCAATATTTCAGAGTGTAGTCACCTTAACTAAGGATTTCCCCAGCGTTTACATCAAAGTTGATGTGGGTATCTCTGGGTGGTATTTGACGATATTCATCAGGATGGTTGTATCATATGTATATTTGAATATGTAACATTTTTACATTTGGCCACCTGTTCTGCTTAACAGCAATAAAAAATATTGTGAACTTGATAAAATAATTCCTGTGAGACTAGAGGCACTCACTATATCCCCCGGACTTGTCAGAACAATTCTACATTATATTACAGCTTTCCCACCTGTATATGTCACCGCACCTGTCACCTGGGTTATTGCTACCAAGCCTGTTGTATTATATTTCTCCAATTTATTCTGCAAGGGTTGAGCCTGCACTTTTCTTTCCCTTTTGGGTAAAAGAGCTCAGATACAATCACTGAACATCCTCCATTTTTTGTATGGTCACATTGCCCTTTGTTGTGGCACTGTATGCCTTCTGCCATATGTTATAGTGAGAAGACGATACTCGTGACAATTGTACAACATAGTGTGACACGAGATTATCAGTATGCTTATAGCACATCTCCCAACAATCCCCTCTACATATGTTATATTGCCAGTCCTGTCTCTTGCTCCTACTCACTGCTGCTCTATTATATTTCTCTCATTTAATTCTGCAAGGTTAAGCACACACACTGTCCTTTCCTTTTGGGGTAGGAGAACTCAGATATGGTCATTTGGTTTACAATTTCAACTTTTATTTGACCATATGGCACTTCATTGCCCCAGTGTAAGCATTGATAACTATATCTTAGTACTTTCTAGTAAATGCTAACCAGTCTATTCACTGGGTGTCCGAATTGATCCAAAATTTCTCGGAATGTCTGAAATAAATATTCCCCGACAATTCCACCTATATCTGTCACATCACCTGTCACCAGTCTTGCCACTACTGAGGTTGCTATATTAAATTTCTCCAATTTATTCTGCAAGGGACAAGCCTGCACTTTTCTTTCCTTTCTGAGTAACAGAGCTCAGATACCATCCCTGAACATCCTCCATTTTTTGTATGGTCACATTGCTCTCTGTTGTGGCACCGTAACCCTGCTGCTGCTCAATACTATAGTGAAACTGCTCTATTATATTTCCTGAATTTATTCTGCACAGTCAAGCATTCACTTTTGGGTAGAAGGGCTCAGATATGTTCCGTTTGTTTACAGAATTTCTCATTCGATCATATGGCGCTCTGTTGCCCTAGTATAAGCATTCATAACCACATTTTAATAATGCTAACCGGTCTTATGACCAAGCATTAGAAATCATCCAAATTGTCTCAGGATGTCTGAAATGAATATTCCGACCCTTCCACCAACATCCGTCACATCCCGTGTCACCTCATTTGCTCTTGTGGGTCTTGCTCTATTATATTTGGAGACATTATTTTGGTATATTAAGTGCTTAGTTTCTGTTTCCTTTTTGGGAAGACACCTCAGATATGATCATGAGAGGGTCACATGTGACATTGCTGACAGAGCCCGGGGTAATCCCTAGTGTTTTAGTGAATTTATAATGCAACACTTTATTGCACATTGCTCATTGATATTTAATACACTAGTACTTATTCAGGAGACGGTGGCAAATCACCAGACATGACTGAAGCACGTATTCCATGCAGTTAGGTAACTCTGCCATGGCAGTAGCCACATTTGCCTGGTTAGCACAATTTGCTATAATATCTCTTTGCCAATTTCAGTGTGCATTACCATTTATATATTTAGACCAATTTGTACTTTCCAGGGCCCATATACCATACAGTTGAAAGTAACCTACCAGGTCATCTGAATGCTTGTAACAGGCCTGCAGCCAAGTTGGCACAGAGATAATCTATTCCTATCAAGTGAATTATCAGTACTTTTTTTCTCTTATAGCATCCAGTCGTTCTGCTTATAATCAGGCTGACAAATATATACAGGAAAAGACTAGATAACGATTAACTGCTCTACCACTAGTATACTACAGGTCAACATATTTATTTTTGGCTTGAGATAGACTCATTAGGTAGCAGCCAGTGTGAGTACCTAAATGGCACTCAAGAATAATGAACTCTAGTATGTGTTTTGCCAGCAATTATCATTTATATCAGCTTTGACTTGACACATTGGTGGTATATTTTTTTGCTCTTCATTGTCTATGCATTATTTACTTTAATTTCCAATTTCAGCCTGTAGTATCATGTATATTATAGGCCTATATCTGCTTTGATCTGCAGATTCAAGCAACAGACTCAGACATATAAATGGACCTTAAGCTGTTCCACAGCCTCACCGTTTTCCCTCCAGTTCCCCTATCTTCTCACCACATCTTGCTGGGTGCAATACTACATTTTCCCATTACCTCAATCCTTGCATTGACGTCTATGACTACGGCTTGTGTTATATCCCGTGCATCTTTGGACGCTCCGAGGGTTATCCTTGGAGCGCAACAGGGTTTTTACGCAGTGAAGGTATCTGAGCGTTTCCCTTCAAACAGTTAATCTGCACGCAGACTCCCTCGGACCTGTTCGGACCCTCCGCCCATCAACTCGGATCTTTACCCATTTGGACTTTGGTTTGTTTACTTATATCCGTTAGGCGTTCACCTTGTTTCCTTTGCCTCATGTATGTCTTCTCGTTCCCCTCTCTTACTATGCCTTTGTACTTAACCCGCAGGGAGATCCTGCGGACCACATCGGATCTCCCTGCGAGGTCATATGCCTTATGCCTACCACTTAGTATAAATACTGGACTTGACGATCCTGTACTTCAGTTTTGTTATTAACGTTTCTTGCCTCGCTCTCCGCTCTCATCCGACTCCCTCTGCGTTCTTAGCCTTATCGCCTTCGGCTTCTCCGAACGTACCCGCAGGAGTTTACATATTTGTTCAAACTTACTTTCGGCCTGCAAGACGTGTAGTCGCTCACTCCGATATAGTGTTGTGATAGCCACTCGGTTTTGCTTCGGACTTTCCGTTACTTCCTTTCGGTTCCTGCACGGCACTTAACAGCTTGCCACTTACTCGTCTTTGTCATTATATGCACACACCGCCACCACTTTTGTCTCTCCTCTGCAATTCCTTTATGTCAGATTACTTGCCTTGAAGCATTCCATTCTGGGTACTGCAGATTGCATGGTTCTTTAGCAGATCAATGTCAAGGCCACATTTGTCATTGTACCACTTCCAGAGGATGATTAGCAGTTCCTCTGCAAAGAAATCTATGGACTTCACCAAGGCTAGTTAATGGTAGAACTGTAATTTCAAAGAGGCAGGGCTATTCTAAGGTTGTACTCAACTGCGCTGTGTATACATTTGAAAACAGGACAGTGCCACTATGATCATGGTTGTCCATGCCCATGACATCAATATAGTGGGCATTCTCTTCCACTAATTATTATTATTCTTATTGTCAAATATGAGGTAACCATCTATCCTTACATTTGATTTAAATGGACTGATTAATGCTTGACTGCTGTTTTAGTTTATGATATTGAGATGGCTGATAAATATGGTACTAGTAGTTGGTTTGTATATTATGGTATTATTCCAAGTAGGGTTCTCTTGGGTCTCAGTTCTCTTGAATTTGCTATAATTTAGTGTTTTTCCTTGAACCATTTATGTGTAAATAACTACTGCTGCTGTTTATCAAGCTGCCTAATATAGTGAAGGCTTTGACAGACAGTGTGTTGTGGTGTGGTGTGGTGGTGTTGTGGTGGTGGGGGGGGTGTGGTGTTGTGGTGGTGGGGTGTGTTTTTGTGGTGGGCTGAAATAGTTAGTAATATTTGTTAGGGTTCGGTTAGCTGCCTCCTACCGGAGCGGCCTTGTTAGGGTTCGGTTAGAGTTTGGTTTGTTGTGTTGGTTAGGTTCGGTTAGTTGCCTCGCATGGAGGGCCTTGTTAGGGTTTGAGTTAGGGTTCGGTTCATACGTCAGTGTGTTGTGGGGAAATAGAAGGTTGTTGTTGGTATTTAATACATTCACATTGGTATAATACACATCTACTATAACATCTCATGCTATATTGTACAGCACCTTCCTTTCCTTTCTGGGTAGGAGACCTTGGATACCACATTCAAATATCCAACATTTTTACATTTGTCCAGCTGGGGTCCTTAAAAGCAATAAAAATATTGTGAACTTGATAAAATAATTACTGTGAGACTAGAGGCACTCACTATATCCCCCGGACTTGTCAGAACAATTCTACATTATATTACAGCTTTCCCATCTGTATATGTCACCGCACCTGTCACCTGGGTTATTGCTACCAAGCCTGTTGTATTATATTTCTCCAATTTATTCTGCAAGGGACAAGCCTGCACTTTTCTTTCCTTTCTGAGTAACAGAGCTCAGATACCATCCCTGAACATCCTCCATTTTTTGTATGGTCACATTGCTCTCTGTTGTGGCACCGTAACCCTGCTGCTGCTCAATACTATAGTGAAACTGCTCTATTATATTTCCTGAATTTATTCTGCACAGTCAAGCATTCACTTTTGGGTAGAAGGGCTCAGATATGTTCCGTTTGTTTACAGAATTTCTCATTCGATCATATGGCGCTCTGTTGCCCTAGTATAAGCATTCATAACCACATTTTAATAATGCTAACCGGTCTTATGACCAAGCATTAGAAATCATCCAAATTGCCTCAGGATGTCTGAAATGAATATTCCGACCCTTCCACCAACATCCGTCACATCCCGTGTCACCTCATTTGCTCTTGTGGGTCTTGCTCTATTATATTTGGAGACATTATTTTGGTATATTAAGTGCTTAGTTTCTGTTTCCTTTTTGGGGAAGACACCTCAGATATGATCATGAGAGGGTCACATGTGACATTGCTGACAGAGCCCGGGGTAATCCCTAGTGTTTTAGTGAATTTATAATGCAACACTTTATTGCACATTGCTCATTGATATTTAATACACTAGTACTTATTCAGGAGACGGTGGCAAATCACCAGACATGACTAAAGCACGTATTCCATGCAGTTAGGTAACTCTGCCATGGCAGTAGCCACATTTGCCTGGTTAGCACAATTTGCTATAATATCTCTTTGCCAATTTCAGTGTGCATTACCATTTATATATTTAGACCAATTTGTACTTTCCAGGGCCCATATACCATACAGTTGAAAGTAACCTACCAGGTCATCTGAATGCTTGTAACAGGCCTGCAGCCAAGTTGGCACAGAGATAATCTATTCCTAGGATTATTCCGCTCCCGGGAGGGGGGCTTAATCCAAGGGGGGCAGTGGATTACCAAGCTGTCAAAGTCACAGGGTACCGAACATGTTCGGTACCCCGTGACCTGTCAAAGGCACGTGCGACCGAACATGTTCGGTACCCCGTGATCTGTCAAACTCACGTGGTACCGAACATGTTCGGTACCCCGTGACCTGTCAAAGTCACGTGTAGGCGGCAGCCGCCCTCGCCTCGGGGCCTCGTTGGCGGCGGCGCAGCCGCCGCCCACACCCACAATGGCAGGTCACTCAGTCACACCTCAGATGTCTTTGCCATGTCCTCTACTTCATCCCTCTGGACATCTTGGACCAAGCGCATTGAGTCGGTGGCACCCGTGCTCGCTTATGATCTTCTCCGTGCGCGCCGCAATGGTGCGTCACGCGCTTTGGGCGTCTTCTCCGACTTACGCCAGGCCTCTAGAGGACCCTCCGTTCTACCATTGGATTGGGCGTGTACCTTGCCGTACCGCTCGCATCGCCGGTTTGATAGTCGGCGTAGAGGAACGTGAATATGGAGTGATTTATTATGGCCCGTTCTACTTTTTACTCCCCGCCACTACGCCTTATCCTTCCCCTCAGTCGATGACGGCACTGGCGTTGTCGAGTCGGTTCATCGCCCCGACTCTGACCCCGTTCCCTTCCCCGCTCTTGTGTCCGTAGGCAACCAAGCCGTAGTTGTCGGTCGGATTCTCACAGGCCCTCGTGGTGTTACTCTTCGAGTTCACTCCCTCAGTCTGCCTTTCCTTTACCGGTCATTCTTGCCCTTCTCACACCTCCTAGCCCGTTGCTCTTCTCCTAATGAAGAGCCCACCCATTTGATCCATGCAATTCACTTAACAAAGTACTATTACCACCTATCTTCGCCTTTTAGTTTGCCGACCCCCGACAATTTCCTCGCTCTCCTTTGCTCCTACATTGCCGCCTCCGATCTTACCCCTACTCTTGGACGCGTCCGCGCTGTTGGTAGACTCAGTGCGATGGCCGACCGCGTTGCTGCAGCTGAGTGGGCGCGCCGCACTTCTTCGTTTGGCCCTCCTCTAGCCCAGGAGGCCAGGGTTCGCCGCTTGTTCGTCTGGGCCGTTCGCAAGCTAGTCCAGCTAGATACTCTCGCACACCAACCCCAGGACCCAGAGAGTGACGATTTTTTACTTGTCCTTTTGCCTTCAGCTATTGCCGCTTCCGCTGCCGCCCCGATGCCGCCGATGCCGCTGCCGCCGCCGCCGATCCTGCTGCCGCTGCTTCTGTCGGCATGTCTTCGCCTCATTACTCTGCCCCGGCCTATTTAAATGAATGTTAGCATAGGTAGCATGTGATCTTCTATGCCTTTCTTTCCTCCACCATCGCTTTTTGAATGGACACGACTGCCAGAGTCCGTGGCCCCATTGTTTGTGTGCGACATTTTCCGGGCTCGTAAGAATCGTGCGTCTGTCGGCTACCGCCTTCGCATCCGAGTTCACTCCGGCCGTAGCTCAGCCTCCTCTCTTCCATTGGGTAGGCAGGGTACCTTGTCGAACAGTTAGGATCGTTGGTTGCGTCAACGCCGCCATCCCCCGCAGCAGCCTCATCCGCTACTCAGGTTCGCCATCTCTCGTCTCTTTTTCTTTTTAGCCCCTACTTCATGAGTACTTTTCAGTGACAGACGGCACTGCCGTTGTTGATTGTTTATACCGTCCCGGAACTCCCGATGCCACTTTTCAGCCCGTTGCAGGCCAGACTGTCGTCGTCATCATCGGGCATATTATCGAAGCATTCGAAGGCCGGGTACTCCTAGTCGACAACATATTCCCTGCGCCCTCAGTCCACGAGCAACGTCAACACATGTCACTAGTGTCTTTCCTTCATCGTCACTATTATGATGTTGCCTTCCCCTTCTATTTTCCCACTGAAGAAAACTTTTCTGCCCTGCTCAAGTACCACGTTGACACCACCGGATGTTTCCCAACTTTTTCGGCCGTTTTTTCCGTTGGATTACTCCGGGCAATGGCGGACCGAGTCGCTGCCGCCGAGTGCATTCGTCATGCTCCCCCAGGAATCTCGGACACCCCACATCATCGTCGTACCCGTCTCGTGTGGTTGTTTGTGTGGGCCCTAGTCCGTCTAGGATCTCCAGCGGTTGCAGTGTTAGAACACGGGGTCCTTCTCTGGTGATCATCTTAGCCGTCGTCTATTGCCGTTGCTTACCTTGCCATGTATTTCGTGTGACCATATACATTATATATACTTGCTTACATACATTCCCTCTCTTAGCTTGCCATCTGCCAATCTGTGCCCGCTTCCTCCATGGCCGCTGCCGCTCCACCGTCGAGCTTCAGTTCACCTGTGCTGGATCCCGTGTTGAGCGTCCTCCGACCGCCTTTTTTTTTTTCCCTATCAAGTATCCTGATGTGCGTCGTGGCCCTTCTCGATGTCCGCTGTTCATCACACCCCACAGATATGGGCGTTCTACAAGAAAGCACAGAGTTCCTTCTGGATTGCCGAGGAGCTCGACTTTTCCAGGGACTTAGAGCATTGGCGCTACAAACTTACTGGCGACGAGCGACTTCATCTCCCACATTTTGGCCTTCTTCGCGGCTTCCGACACCATCGTCAACGACAACTTACTCGAGCGGTTTTCTCGCGAGGTGCAGCTGCCAGAAGCCCGTTGCTTTTACGCTTTCCAGGCCATGATGGAAAATGTACATTCTGAAGTTTACGCGCTGCTTATCGACACCTACATCCAAGATGCTCAGGAACGTGTACGCCTCTTCCGTGCCATCGAAACTATTCCCTGCGTGCAGCGTAAGGCTGAATGGGCCCTCCGTTGGATCCAAGACCCCCATTCTTCGTTTGCCGTGCGCCTTGTCGCTTTTGCCGCCGTCGAGGGCATTTTCTTTTCGAGCTCGTTTGCTGCCATTTTCTGGCTCAAGAAACGTGGTCTTATGCCGGGTTTGGCCACCTCCAATGAATTCATCAGTCGAGATGAAGGCCTTCACACCGACTTTGCTTGTCTGCTTTTTGGGCACTTGCAGTCTCGGCCTCCTCCTTCCGTCATCCAGACTATCATCACAGATGCTGTAGATGTCGAAAAAGCTTTTCTTGCCGACGCCTTAGCCAACCGACTCTTGGGAATGAACGAAAAGTTGATGAGCCGCTACGTCGAATTTGTCGCTGACCGCCTCCTTGTCGCCCTCGGCAACGAAAAGGTCTACTGCGTCCCCAACCCCTTTGACTTTATGGATATGATTTCTATGGAAGGCAAAACGAATTTTTTCGAGCGACGCGTGTCTGACTATTCCAATGCGGCGCGCACTTCGTCCAGTGTTCCTGTTACTAAGGCAAAGTTGTCAGTGTCTCTTCTTTAGTATTTTATCCCTTTCTGACATGCATCTGTGTTTAGTGAGCTTGACGCGCATTTTTGAACTTTCAGTCGCATGCCTTGTTATTATTTTTTTTTTTTTTTTTGTCTTTGGAGGACAAAATATATGTTTTTCTCTTTTGATTATTCACCCATGTGACCATCGCCGCTGCCGCTGCCGCTGCCGCTGCCGTCACCATCATCAGTTGCTGGGGAATTCCCTAGTGATGTCATTGCATCTCGACTTCTCGTATATAAGCGTGTCATCGTCCGCACTTTTACTCTCGTTTCCTCTCTTTCTGCCACCATGTCGAAACGTTCCAGTTCTCCTTCTACAGAGTTGGTGTCCACCGTCTCGCCCCGTGCCGCTGCTGACGCGTTTGGTTTGCCAGTACCACTGGTCCCATGCCTCTCCCGAAGCGCCCTCGTTCAGAATGCTGCGTTACTTGCCATCAACCCCTGCTCTCTTGTTCAACGTCCGCTGTTCCATTTTGCCTGTTTGTTCGTCTCACGCGTTTGTTAGCGACGAACTTCGTCCTTCTCCTCCCAGCTCTGTCGTTTCTCCCCCCTTCGTACGTCTGCCTCTTGCCACTCGTTCTCACCCCTAACCCTCTTGTAGTTCGTCTCCTCCGGTCGGACCGCCATCCTTGCACCAGTTGGTTTTCATTTCTTTTTTCTCTTTTTTCCTGTTGACGCCTGTACTTCAGGGACCGTCGGGCGAGGTTCTAGGGTATCGTCCGCTCATGTTCCTCTTTGTTGCCTTACCCCTTTTCTCTTAGCGCTGATTATGCTCGTGTCGCCTCGAACCTTCCTCTGCGTGGCGGTGCCGCCAGTGCTTATCGTCGCGAGTATGCCGAGGTTTTTTTCGACGATCTCTTCTCCGCCGCCCCACAAGTGCATTGTCTGTTTCACCCGAGGTGTCACCGCTGGCCATTCCACTTCTGACTGCCCCTCTGGACTTGCGGAATCCCGAGTCGACAATACTTACAACAAGTTCTCCAAGAATGGCATTAACCTTCAGCTTCCTGACCGCGGCACTTGGTGTTTCATGTGCTGGATCGCTACTGCCGATGTACGTCCTTATTCGCCGCCTTCCCCTTTCTCAATATCTTTTCAGGGACGTAAAGACGGCTGGCATTCTGGATCCTACGGCAAAAAGTGTCCCAATTCCCGTATCCTCAAACCTTGGCTTTACATAGTCATGTTGGACCCTCAACCGCAGCCTCACCTGATCACCACTGGCCTAGTCCCTTCCGCTGTTCTCCATGACCCTGTCCCTGGTTTTGGGGCGTTCTGTCGTTGGGCCGAAACACCAGTCCCCCATCACCTCGGAAACCTGATGAACTTTCATGTCCTTGCCATGTATTGGTTCAGTACTCGTGTCCCTGTCGTTAATCTTCCCGATTCTCTTCGTGAGCTCGTTGTCGACTTATTCAATCGCACTAAGCAGGCCGACCGTGCCGCCTATAGTTCTGTAATGCCGTCATAGTTTATAAACATTCGTGTTTTTTATAATCAATCTCGCGTGACCCTCATTCCTGCCTCTTGCTTGCATTTACGATGCCGACTTGGATGCGTGAGTCGTGTCTCTTGTAGGACTTCTCGCCAGCTACAAGGCGGATTTTAGGTTTTGCCCATCTTCCTCTTCGCCCGCAATGCATTGACCCATCTGCCTTGTCCTCCGACCGCTTATCTTCTCCTTCAAGTCCGCAACGGTTCGTCTACCCAGTTCATTCGCAGTTCTACACACCTTTGCTTTGCCAGGCCTATTGGTCTCCTGTCAGTCTCACACCACCGAGGTCCTACCCTGCGTCGCTGGCTGTATACCCTCGCGTTTTTATGACGTTGTTTCGCCAGACTCGTTATTTGTGCCGCCTTTGTGTCCTTTTGGGCTTTGATGGCAAACATGCCTCGGCGCTCTGCCCCCGGTCGCCGCTCGCCGACCAAGCTTGCCTCTCGTTCGGCCCCTCAATGCTTCCAGTGCATCCAGGTTGGTGTCCTCGTTGTGGTTGTCTTCCGGTAAGTGTTTTTGTTCCGTAATCCCACTGCGGGCTATTCTTATTATTTTTAGCGTCATTGGGCTCGATGCCATGTCGACGGCTCCTGCTCCAACTCGGATTTGCTGGGTTGTCTCTCTTCCACTTTAGTCTCAGCTCATTGGCCGCGTTACTCGCTCGCTGCTTCCTGTCTCCTTCCACTTTGGGTCTTGCAATCGGACTCGGTCCAGTTGTCGGCTTTTCGTTTGTGGGCAGTCCGCCCCGTTCATCATGAACTGGGACTCGTCAACCTTCATCTCATTACTATGTGGTGGATCGACAAGACCTCGTTTCTTGCCCTTCGTCCTTGCCTCAAGCCCTTGATAGAGGATTTACGACGTTCGGTGATCATAGAGAATGCCATTTGGTTGGCGGCATCGGAGGCTGCCGCCTTTGCCGCTGCCGCCTTTGCCGCTGCCTCCACTGGTGACTGACTTCGTGTAGTTGACTGTGTCACATTTTACTTCTCTCTCTGTCTCTCTCCATGTGCTTTCGCTCCATTGGGCATGTCCTCTCTCCAGCGTAGTTGTCCAGTCTGCTGTTCTCTAGTCGATGAACCTTTGTCTTTGCATGATCAGCGCTGCCATGTCGAAGTCGCCGTCGTCACTTTTAGAGACGTTCCTGTCACTGTCCGTCGACACACAGATCATCGGTCCTTTCAGTGTCCAGCGTGCCCTTACAGGACAGACCGTGGTGTTACCCTGCAGGCATGTTCTTCCTCTTTACTTTGGTATTTTTTCTTTTCTAATCTGCTTCCCTCTCTTTAGTACCACTGCGACTGGCAGTGTCCTGGACGCTTTACCAGTTCGGATGTTCTCATGTCATCTCCTGATGCTTCGCCTAGTACCCCCGCCCAGACGCCGCCACAGCCGCTTCCATCGCCCCCTCCTCTGTCGGCCCCCTCCCACAAACTTTTCCCCGATTCACGCACCGTCACGTCTCATGGGAGTTACGATTTGCTGCGCTACGATCTGGTCATCAACACAGCACACAAAATTTTCATCTGCCTACATTGTCAGAGCATGCTTGATCCCGAGCAAGTCCATCACCATATCACTCGTTGCCACCTACCTCGTATTGCGGAACCACCTCCTCTAACCATGGTTCCCGATCTTGTTTCTCAGTTCCACCTTGTGTCTCACTCGGAGCTGCACACTTTTGTTGCACCCCCTGGCTCGCCTCTTCCCTCTGCTGCATTTGGTCTGGCCCTCTCGTCGGCGCATTTCTATGAGTGCGCTCGATGTCTCCATGCATTCTCCTCTAAAGCCAGCCTGCGTGTCCACTCCTGCTCCCGAGGCGCCTCTTTTGCACCTGGCCGTGTTGGCTACGCCCAACAGTTCTTGCCTGGTCAACACCGACCGTGGTTCCTCGTCGAGCTGCCACTCCTCACTAGCCACTCTGACGCTGAACTGTCTAGTGCCGTTGGTCGTTTGGACTTGGGAATCCCCAACTATAACGATGCAGGTCCTTCCGCACCCCTCGATGAGCGCAAGAAGAGCAACTTCATAGTCAGGGAGCAGTGGAACACTATCATAGATCATGTTACCCCTCAGCAAGCCCAAGAGCTTACCCGACTTTCCACCGCGGCAGATGCGCAGCATTCTCTTGGTCCTGTAGTTGTTTCGTCTATGCGGCGTTTCCAGTTGGTCATGTCACACCATCACGCTTTTGGCACCCTGCGCGACTTAGCAGACTTCGGCATGCAGTAAGCAGAGTGCTGCTCGTTTTGTCTCGTCTCACCCTAACGCTATAGCCGCGAGTCCCTCAACTCTTTTCATCATATCACCTTAGACAGCTGCGACAGGTATGGACGTACGTGGTGGGCTCTGATCTTCAACCTCTGCCGTCAAGTAGAGCCACCTGCGGGCTATTCCCCATCGTTTTCCTACCATCTTTCGCCAGATCAGATTTCGCCATCCGTCATCTATTGGACGTCCACAAACGACAACTGGCATCGCGCTCTTCTCCTTTGTCGTCTCCTTTCCTTGCCGCTGCCACGCCCTCGGTCGATGTCGATGGGGGTGGCAGTGATTCAGAATCTGACGCTGAGGATGAGAATGACGGGGCGGTCAGCTCTAGCTATCTCGATGTTCCTCCACCCTCATCTATGACCGAGTTAGAGTCTGCCATTCATCGAGTCATGGTGTCTCTCGTCTGCTGCCTGGCGACAGGCCCCCGCCGCAGCAAATTTTTCTCTCCTCTCCTCGTCTTCGTCGTCCTCGCCAGTCTTCGCAATGACGGCGGCCTTCGTCCCGCCACTACCATCACGCAGCGTATTGCTCATTTTATCTATGGGGGGCGCGGTACGCTGCTTCTCGAGATTGAAAATCACCTCGATGCAGATCCTACTTTGTCTTTTCCCGAAGTCCACGAGCACTTCAAGAAGTACCACCTTAGTGCTTTCCCTTCCCCTTTGTCTGGCCTTTTCCAGACTTTCGTCCTTCTCCGAGTCATCGCCAACACTGAAACTACGCCATTCATTGGACGCTGGCTCAATGCTGACCATACCTTGATCGACTGGGGTGGCAAATCAGTTTCTCTCGACGTTATACGCAGGCCCCTACGATGCTCTTTTGGAGGACATATCCGATATTATTTGCAATCGCCTCTTTTACCGCAAACCTATTCCCGCCGACCTCTCTGCCGATTTCTTTCGTGATCGCGTCCTCCTCGATCCGCATTCTAATGTTTCTATTGGGTTTTGCGCCTTAGACCTCCCCGACAATCATCTTTGCAGCTCCGATGATGTTAGCCGGCGATATATTCTCTGGCTGATCCATAACTGTCCGGATAATTTCGTACCTTTACCGGATGGCCAGATTCGTTGGCGGGAGCCCGGGCACGCCAAATTATGCAAGCGCTCGATGAGCTTACGTTAAAGATGGCTTTAGCCGCTCAGATCGGTTCTCCTTGCCTCTTCCGTGCCTCGGAATTGGCCAGTCTCTCGTTACGCCAGGTGGCTCGTAGCACC